CAGAGTTCATTATCCATCATCATCACTAGATCAAACATCTCTTTCCAGAAGAGCTAGGACCACAGCCATCCCTGTTCAAGTAGTGGAAAAGTGCCCTCCTAATGGCTGACCTGGGAACAGGGCAGCATGGAAATTAAACTGTCAGTCTTAGTTTTAATTATAGCGGTTGGTTATGACATCCAGAGGCGAGCTTTCTCATCCCTCACGCTGCTGCTGTAGAGCTGAGGCTTTCTAACCCTGAGTATGGGATGTGATTTCAGCACTGCCGGTTTGTTGTTGTTGTTAACACACGAGACTGAAAATAAAACTTGATTGATCCCTGTGGAAGCAGGTGTGTGATTGGGGAATGTAGCGAGCTAGCAGGAGATAGGCAGGTAGTACACACAGACACACGCTAGAGGAACAGGAAGGATAGAGGAGAAAGAAAGGGTTGCTGAGACAGCTTTTTTTTTTCAAATTTAATTTAATTTAAAAAAATCTTGTGAAGAATTTGGGATGGATTTGTGGTGTATCAATTCAATTCAATTTTGTTTGTATAGCGCCAATTCATAACAGAAGTTATCTCAGGACACTTTTCAAATAGAGCAGGTCTAGACCGAACTCCTTATAACATTATTTACAGAGACCCAACAGTACCACCATGAGCAAGACCTTGGCGACGGGGGCAAGGAAAAACTGCCTGTTAAAAGGCAGAAACCTAGGACAGACCCTTCAATGTAGCCAAATCCTTTTGAAGCCAGACTTTTGAATCTCTTTTCTGGAACATATTGGCAAATCTTTACCCATCTCCTTTTTCCACGACATTGAGATGTTCAATAAACGACACACTAAGCTGAATTAGACAGATCCTGACTCATCTCTATCTAGTTATCAATAGATCACATATCACAGTTGGGTACCTTGGTTTTGGGGTCGTGGTTCGCTATTTTCTGTAACATTTTTGTCTTTTTATTTTGAAAGATTACCATTCAGCAGGGGGTCATTGGCCATCATTCTTACTCTAACAGCTATGCACTCAAATACTGGCATACTCTCAATACTACATGGGCTTGGGCTAGCTTGAGTTAGCCTGGCTAACAGGGCTAAGCTGACTAGCATGCTACAGCTGATAGACTACAACTGGTGCAGTGCCAAAGCTTTCTGGGTAAAACTTGAGCTCTTGAATTTCTGTTCCACACATGTGAGTAGTAGACATAAACAGACTATTTAAAAAAAAAAAAAAAAAAATTGGGGGGCTTTTTCCCCTTTATTAGACAGGAAAGGGGGAGAGAGAGAGGTAGGATGACACACAGCAAAGGGCCACAGGTCAGATTTGAGCCCAAGGACTCTGTACATGCCTACCGGGTGAGCTACCATGGTGCCCCATGAATAGACTATTTTGAGAGTAATTGTTTGGGTCACAGGGGAAGTTACGTACCGAATGTCCTGTACCGCAAGGTCCCAGAAGAATACTGTACTGTAACACCCCTTAAAGTTGCCTTTTTAAACAAACAGTGTCCAATCAAATTGTTGTAGCACCCCTACTCATTTCCCCTTTAATACGCCTAATATTGTATTATTACATAAAAGTGTAATAATTAGTTGTGTCTAGTGAAGGCACTCTATAAAACCCTGAAAGAAACCCTGAGCTAAGTATACACATAAGACCATGGTGGAGATGAGTGGAGCCACAGTCTCACACCAGTGCCCATATTTATGAGAATTAGGAATTCTTTTTCAATAATAATATAATTAGAAAATAATATGAAGACCTGTTAAACCTGTTAATGCGCATTTATGCATTTATTATATTCATAATATACATACATGCAGTATGTATATTGTGCTGCATGTAGGGAAAGTGCTGATTGAGGGGGAAAAAAATCATATTTCCAATAATCTTCCATTTACAAATGTAAGAGAGAATATCCAGAGCAATGTTTTCCAGCCTGCAGACTGACAGAGGTGAATCCTCTGCTCAGTCCTCCCTAATGATGGATATCCTAGAAGGCTTTGGGGGTTTCACTCTAAAACCACACAATGCTATTGCTTAAATTAGTCATTGGACGGTTTGATCCTATATGAAAATGTTGGAAGACATTTGAAATCATATAGGAGCAGGTTGCCCCTGGGTGAACATGGTAAGGATTAACATGATGAAAACATTGTCCACCACTTGAATATTTTGATTGAAAAAGGATTTGGGAGTGGCCTTGGTGTCGCAGATATTTCTTTGCTTTTCGCTGCTGGCCTGCCTCCTCTGTTGGTCCCTCTCCGTGGTCCCTCTTGGGCTGTGGTACTAGTCTTGCTCCAAGAGTTTAGAGGGTCTGAGGGCATGACCCGAGGGCGTCTGATTCAGCTGACATGCTCAGATATTAACACGTTTACACACAGTGTTTGTAAAATGTAAACTTTTATCATACACTGTAAAAAATGTCTGTAGATTTTACGGTGAAAACTATGACAGTAAGAGACTGTTAAACAGTTTCTGTAACAGTAAAACACCATCATATCTCATGGC